TTTGACTGTAGAATACGGCAGGGCTATACCATTGCTGAATCGGAAGATATTTTGGATTTGCTCACCGAGTAAAATGTATTTTCTAAAATCGACTTGAAAGGGATACATTTACGAATCACTCATCAATCATAAATGCTAATAACCAACTTACATAAACCAGTTATACCATGAAAATACAGGATTTATATTTGGCCTAAGCAATTCACCAAGAGGAGTTGGAGAACCATGTTGGAGATATTAGTGTAGTTGAATTTCACCAGATACATGCATCCGTTTCAGTTTTTACAACCATTAACCATACACTTCGTGCGCCAGTTTAGGTTGCTGCCATTTGGATAAAGCAGTAGGAGGAAAACAAGAAATTTAAGGATATAGTCGGAGGGAAAATTTCAGTAGACTAAGGTTGCAAAGAAATTGAAATGCACGAACGCCATTGTTCACGAAACTCAACTCAGTGTCACTAAACATCGGTTACGAGCATCCGCAGCCAGGGAGCCTAGAGGTACTTATGTGACCGATCCCCCTGGTTACGGCTTTCACACTTTCGTGCCAGGTCTTGATTTGAACACTCTTGGCCTTTTCCCACTCACTGTCTGCCTCGGCAAGCATCCCACGCCGTGGCAACCTATTTGGTGACCTGCGTAACATATGCCCCGACCAACGTCATCTATGGAGGTCGACCACTTGCTCCAGTGGAAGACCGCGACTACCTAAAACTCTACGCCTAACCTCAGTATTGCTCGTCCGGTTGCTCCACCAGATTCGTGCAATGCAGGTAAGACAGCGGTGTTTAAACACCGATAATCTACCTTTATCCTGCCGTCGTGATGATTTCCAACGAAACGATACATGATATTCATTGATTGACTGTTTTGAAAATGTTATCACAAAGAAATATTTGTCGTTATTCCCGGGGGAAGTTGTTTCCCATGGGCCAGTTTTGGACGATCGGGTTATCTGATAAGTAGAAACAGATTCAAACCGAATAATATATAGCTGTCTCCCTCAACAGACACACCATAAACCAAGTATTTGAGTGATGGCGTCTGTCACCATCCAGTACCATTCTCGTTTCATTTCAACTTTATTCAAATGCGAGAGATTTCTGATTAGTTCAGTTGATTTCTAATATTTCTTCTGAGTTCTTTAATTCTAGTGAATAAATCCCACGCTCCCTCACTTCAATTGCTGTCACCTAATTCCGTTCTCCGTCCCTGACCCGCACCCCCAATCTTAGCTCTGTTCCGATTGTTACCTGGATCGGAGCAGTTCTAGGGCAAAATGGCAAACCAGTCACTTATTTATCGTTTCTACGATTAAAAATGCGGTGCCGCAGTGAATATATGATAATATATTCTTTACATCACAATAAATCACCGTCATCCACTGCCCTCAGATAAAAACTCTTCGAACACAGAGTTCTCAAAAATACCAAATGGCTTTTTTCACGATAATCTTCAGCATGGACATCCAACAAAAACGAACTGACTATCACTGAATACGACACCTGAACAAGCATGAACTGGCAACTCGGTTCAGCCCCGGTACGTGCTGGTTGGCCTAGTGGAAGCACACGCAACTTCCATACAATGGGTCCGGAGTTCAAAGCCGAAACGGGATGAGGGATACGCACTACTGATGAGATATCATAAGAGTGAAACCCGAAGCTAGTTCTTCCGAGTGTGTGGTTGATCAGAAGAGCTGCGAATTGTTCGTGAAGGAGAAGTCTGTAAAATAGTCAGTTTAAGTCAAGATGGAAATTGACAAGGCGCATCAGCCCCACAAGATGGTACGTTTTCGATGTACAGTTTACGTGTCCTTTTTTCAACATCAGTGTTTGCACCGATCGGTATTGGTCGCACTGATTAACCTGCCGTCAAAATATGGTCCGGTAATGGATAGACTGACTCGTTTTGTGCTAGGCGCATATTCGGACTCTGATCTCATAAGGAATTATTTTCAAATTCTCGTATATCCATTCAAAGATTTCGTCAATTTCAACTTCCGATTGAATCCCTTTTCTGCTCATTCTTGGGAATCAATCATCTGATCATCCAGAGACGTTATGCATGGGCACGCCGTGTAACATGTTTAATAGCAGAGTTTGAATAATACTTGCAATCTCCCCCCCCCACACTGTAGACATTTATAACTTGCACTCGTATCTCAGGTGAATAGTGAGGTATCTCTCTCTCCGTAAGAAATGGGACAACCCTTCACTGCATGGATTATCTACTCATGGAAAAATGTCTTAGACAAAGCAATCTACTGAATGTTTGCTACATAGTTTAAATGTGATCGGAATTCCAATCCAAAACCTGTAATTAGCGTTTGCTCCCAAGGGTCACCATTGTTCTTGACTTTTGGTTACGTGTAGCTTAACCGTCTGATGTTATGTAGAGCGGATAGGGTTTTCGGAAATAGAAGCGTACTAACTAACCTCCAGGTTCCACGAACGTAAGGGTCACCAGCTCGACTGGTTATGCTGAATATGCGAAGGGAGTATCAAGAATGCAAGGAACCAAGACACTAAACACTGTTTCTTAATAAACTGTTCGTTGTTTTTTAGGTCACATTTTGGTTTACAGAAGGCTCCAGTTGAGTTCCTAAAACAGTCACCGATTTGACTTGCAAAATATAGCCGAATCGCGCCCACAAACAAATGCTGAATTAGTTTTGTTAATATACAGAGATGAGTTTACCGTGATGTGTTTGCATCCAGACCTGTAAGAAAAAACATTCAAACCAGACATCACTGGTGTGATGTGAAGTGATTATAGAAGTTCAGTTTTATCGCAATGGATTTATTCTGCTACCACGAAAGTTTAAGATCAAGGAGAGAATTCCACATAAAATAATAAAAATACTGAAATCTATGTGCACTTCCTTTCAAGAATTGCGGACAATCAAAAACTCACCCCATACCTAGGAGGGATTGCGGTTAGGGTCTATAAATTCCATCGCTTACACCGTTCTATGGTAATGCTAACCTTTGTACTTGCATATTCGTTCTTGCAGACGAATGCATTTTTAACTTTGTGTAAAATAGGAGATAGAACCCAACACCAAGGGAAAAACGCAATTCATATCGTAGTAGTAATACCTTCACCAGGTACACCAACAACAACAACCACTACCACCACCATCAGAGAACAGAACATGTGGCAGAGTCTCACCGATATGCTGAAGACTGGCCGCGGTAGTTTGCTGAGTCCAAATTATGGACATCGGCTTCAGTAAGTCGCAGAAATCAGAGTGAGATAGCTCGCCATTAGACCAGTGGTTTTGGTCGTCCGGTTTACGCGGTGGTATCATCTTCGTGTGTCACTGTTCTGGCCTACAATTTTGCAAATATGCAAAGAGAAAAACAAACATTTGTTCGACGCAGAGTGTAAAACAGTGAAAAAATCGATAACCCGACACCGGATAAAATTTGAGGACGATGAAAAGAACAGTTAAATCAGTTGTATTGAATACAAGTGGAAATTTTTATGTACAAAGTCCTATGATATTTTTGACACTGATCATGGTGCAGGTTGTGACATTGGTGAATCTGTTGGCGTGATAGACGGTTGGGTATATGCCCCCGAGGATTTGGAATACGAGGCACCGGCAAGAGACATGGAATTTGGAGTAGTTGCCACCGTCTGACGCGATAACCGACGCACTGTGTTGATGTGTTCCGCATACTGAGTCATTGTTAGTCGAGCACAAGCATGAACCAACGGTTGATCCTCCGGGTTTTGAACAAAGCTAAGAGCTCCAGCGGACTGGACTGAGGAGGAAGGCCAACGGGGAGGATCAAACGACCCGGACTGGAGAGCGCGGTGGAACGACTGACTAAACAGGTGCTCCGCTGCGTTTGGATCATTGGCCGGAGGACAGACGTCAGACAAAACTTGAGTAATGAATGCTCGTAGTATACCCCCGCATAAGTGAATCATACACGAGGGCTGGAAAATAATCTGGAAAAAGAGAGGAAAAAAGGGCACACAAAAGAAATGATGGTTGAATTTTGTTAAACGAAGCTAGAGCACACTTGTCAGGAGGGGTTAATGCAGCTGAAGTCTACTTGAGCTAATTATTGATAATATGTATCACTCCTGCTGTTGCTATCTAATCAATTGATAACTAAGTTTTACCACTGAACTCGTAGTGACAAACTGAACGACTGAAATTCATTCGAGTGAAATCCGAAAGTGAACTACAATCAGCGAATTTTGTTGAGGTTTTAGCAGACTGGATGCCAACCGGGTTCAATAAGGCCTTGCGTTAAAAGTTTACTGTGAACGAAATAGCCTTCTGTCACACGACGTAATAATGCCCGAAACTCCCCAGCAAAAAAGGTGGTTGAAACATGCTAATCTAGCCGGCGTAAGTCACCAATGCACCGACTTTGGGTCGCGCGCATGAATTCCATTGCTACCCAACTTTCTCTAGAAATCATGTTACCTGATGGTCTCAGTCTAATTCCTGACTGTTGCTTGTGCACTTTTCGCACACAGAATGAGAAATCTATTATTTTCATAGGAGAATTCGTCGTGTTTAGAGCAAATGTTTCAGTTTTCCATTTGAACAACCATTAACCATGCATTTTCGTGCGCCGGTTTTGGTTGCTGTCTTTTGTCTGCCCATTTGGATGAAGAATAGGAGAAGAAAGGAAAGTTGAAAGTGGATTCGAAAAGAAAATGGAGAAGTTCAGTGGACTAAGGTTGCAAAGAAACTGAGAAGATGCAAGAACGCCACTGTTTACGACACCCAGCCATATC